AGAATTCAAATTAAGCTTTGTATAAAAAGGTAGCATTGAAAACTATTGGAATTCGCTTGCAAAAAAAATAGGCAGAACTAAAATAGTAAACGAGCAAGTCCTTGAAGTAACCGGAAACCGGTCAATGCCACCAAACGCCGTCTGACGAAATTGTGCTGTAACCGAGTCGAGGGCCATTAGGACGAATGTGCGATGCCATTATCTAGCTAGGAAGCTGCTTTTATGTTGGCAACATTGTGAATATAGTTGTTAAATGACTTCATTCATATATCATGTTGGTAGTTTTCATTAGTAAAAATGGCACGTAAAATTATTGTTTTATTATAAAAAATATTTTTATTTATTATATTTTAACGATGCAATGAATATTTGAATAGCATATCGTCCAGCAGTTTACTCGTCAGCATAAATTAAAATCATCTAGAACAATACTCCTTCTTTATCAACCTTCTCAAAGCGAGAAAATAAAAAAAAATATCAACGTCATCAGCAATACCAGAGGAACCGCAGATGCATTGCCGGTCTTTGAGATGGTGATACGCTCGCTTCTTGAAGGACCCAAGTCGTAGCGGTTTGGAAATACCGCCGAGGACAGATTCCACAACGTTGCTGTGCGAGGCAGGAAGTTACGCGCAATCCAATATATATTATTTGATTAAGTATTCCTTTTAATATCCTTTTAGGTATAAATAAAGATTAGCCACTAATGGAGACATTGGAAATACTAAATAAACTATAAATTGTTAATTAACACTGAAAATTTACAACATTAAGACATTAAGGTAAGAACTCTGAAATGCCCATTAGGATAAACGACTTCATCATCATCAGCTCACTATGCGTCCCCACCGAGGGGCTCGGAGTCTACCCTAAGTTAAGGGTGATTAGACCATAGTCAACAACGCTGGCCAAGTGCGGGTTGACTTCACACATATCTTTGAATTTCTTCTCAGATATGTGCAGCATCACGATGTTTTCCTTCACCGTAAGAACGTCGGATAAATGTACATATGTAAATCGGAAATCGAAAAACATATTGGTACATGGCGGGATTCGAACCCAAGACCTGGACATTGCATATATATATATATATATATATATATATCATCTCTGTCATCTTTGACAAAACAGAGACTACTACTGTACTGTACTACTTTGAAATTTTAAACGGCAGTTTTGGTTTCAGAAACTCTCGGTAAGTCATAGGTGACACATGACAAGGCTATAATCAAACATATCTGGTCCGATAAAAGAAACTTTAACCGTTAGAAGTATCCGAGAAAAAATAAAAAACAGATATAGTATGACAAAAAACTTTTTAAATGGCGCTAGTGAGCTAATGTCATAATTTAACTTGACTTATACTGACCGGGTCAGATATCCTTATCGATCTCTACAGTTCAATAAGGACATTGATAAAAGGAACGAATGCTTCCGATTTAATTTCACTCATCTCCACCGGGTGAGGTAAGTTAATCGTACTATATATTCTTGGATAAACGTCTTAGCTACTAAACGTCAGGCAATATTTCCCTTTGAACATAAAAGAACGAAAAGTTAATAAAAAAAAAAATTACAGAATCGTGACAACCCTACACTAGCGTCCTAGCAACACGGGTTACTGAGGACACTGCCCTCGCAATGCAGAAATGTGCACATATCTTTAAATACATTTACAATATACCTTAAATCAACCGAATAAAGTTCAAATTATTACTATTGGCGGTAAAATTAAATTTGTATTGTCTTTTCGTGTTGATAGTTTTATTAGCTGTTATAATATATCTTATTTCGTTGGAATAGAGTTTATTTTAGCTTGTTCAATGTTAGCTTAAGTTTGTTAGATCTTTACTGGAGAGATCCCGTCCAGCGTTACCACGGATTCTAGATGGTACGAATAAAAATAAATGAAGTTCTTATGTTCCTCCAAGTGTAAGGGAAAGTCGTTTAGTTTTGTTTTAGTTATAACTATGAGAGTAAAACAATATTTATGCGATGCACCAAGTTATTAATATATTTTCTAGCTGTCGCCCGCGACTCCGTCTGTGCGGGATTAAAAATAGATGTTGACCGATTCACACACCTACTCAATATGGTCACAAAATTTCATGAGAATCGGTCAAGCCGTTACAGAGGAGTATGGGAACGAAAATTGTGACACGACAATTTAAAATAAGACTTATTTAACTCTGTGATAATATAGCAATCTTATTGTGAAAGAATTTTTTAATCGGTCGAGTAGTTTTTGAGTTTATTAGTTACAAAGAAAAATAAAATTAATTAAAAAAAAATCTTATATTTTTTTATCTGCAAACTATTAACCAAAGCTTTCCAATTGACATGTAACTATTCTAAACTATAATTACATAAAAATAAATCCCATTTATAAACTTCTTATACTCGAACAAAATAGAAATAAAAATCGATTTAAAACATCGAGTAATCGTGTTAACGCCCTATCGATTTTTTCCCTTTTCACATCGTAAACGTGCTCTAGTGTTGTGTCTGATTAATCGATATTATTAATGCAATAAAGTTCTTACGACCAGTTCACTCCGACCCTATTAGAATGGTCCTTTGATTTTAAAGAAAAGGACTAGGCAAAGAGCCGCAGTACTTCTAGACATTATTAGTTAGAATCCTTTGACGCGAATGACGTGCTTTCGTTACAACATCCAGTGTCAGAATGAATAGTGAGGGGACATAAATGACGACATTTTAGTAAGTTGAATCAATACACCGGGCCACCTCCGGACCTCCTTCCTAACAGTTCTTATTAATGTCACTTTGCGGGGAAATAGGTAAAGATGACAAACACACATGAAAAACGTAAACGCAAACTGATTCAAAAATTTACACACTAAAACAAAACGACCACATAAACATAATTAAAGCTTATTGTATGTTTTTATTTGGTAGATCGTGTGCTTTACAAGTCCTGTATATTAATAATCAAAGGACTGGTCTGAGCTAACGTATTTTTATAGTGCATCCTTTCAAAAAGATCTATTATCTTTCTCGGGTATCAAGTGTTGCGAATTAAGATATATCGATAGTTTATTTTTAACTTAATTACAGATTAACTTATCAGATGACTGAGTAAAAACGATACAAGGTTTTATAGATAACGTTTATTTTAATTAGGTTCACACGGCGTGTAGTTAATACACCAAAGCTATAGTGATATATATTTAAATGTTTATTCATCAGCTCATTATACGTCCCCACTGAGGGGCTCGGAGCCTACCCTAAGTTAAGGGTGATTAGTCCACAGTCAACCACGCTGGCCAAGTGCCGGTTGATTGACTTCACATATTTTTTTGAATTTCTTCTCAGATATGATACGATGTTTTCCTTCAGCATAAGAACGTCGGATAAATGTGCATTAGTAAATCGGAAATCGAAAAACACATTGGTACATGGTGGGATTCGACCCCAGTACCTGCAGATTGCAAGTCAAGTGCTCGAAACCTGAGCCACACACGCGACACTCTAAATTTTTAATCTTTTATATTTATCACGAAGAATTATTTCTTAAACATTATTCATGTAAAATTTTGTCGTTAAAATATCGATATAAAACATGTTAATGTAACGTCACTATTATTTTTTGGAAGTAAACATTTTGGCGGGATTCAATCCCGCCAAAATATTTTGTAGGTTATAATTTAGGTCCCAAAATTCTAAGAAGATATAACTTTAAATTACCATGTCTAGACTTCATAATAGAATGTATATTGACGTGAATATATTAAATTATTTAACAAGAAACAAGAACTATTTAATAACACAATATTACCGAGAACAAGTCGTATAAATATTTCATTCATTATGTTGGTACAACTCAGAGCGCAACGTTACAATGAACGAATGAATGAATAAAAATAATTTCTTTTAAAACTTTTAAAATACTATTTATATTTTTATTTATTAAAAAAAATTAAAATAGTCCCTTTAAAAGGATTAATTGGTATAAATATTACGGCCTAAAATATTATAATTACGTAAATAATATTTTTTTAAATGATAATTTCGCGTATGTATTTTGATAAAATATGTAAAAAGACTTTGTCAGACCCTTTATCAATACATTTGGTACAATATCATTGATTTTTAATGATATTACTTACGTTTACAACTCAGTAATTAAATAATTTAAGCTTCACAAAGTCTCAAAGAAACCTATCCTTCAAATGTCATTGACACAAGGAACACGTCTTGACACAAGATGGCGTTGTTTTTTATTTAATTTACTGCATTTATAATGAGGTTTTATGAAGTGCATTTCTAATGACCAGTACATTTATTATGCAAATAAATACAGAGTCCAATCGCAAAATTAAAAATGCTACACACGAACGAATGACTTTATGTCTGCTGTAACTGTATAGGATGTGTATAGAGTAAGTAATTAACAGAGATTGCATTAATATTTTTATATTTTACAGCGTGATAAAAGGGAATTAATGTCTATTGCTATTTTGTTTATGTTCTATTACTTTGTCTCGTAATTTAACGCGATGTGAATATATGTTAGTTAAGAGCGTCGGTGGCTCAGGTGTCAAACACTTGATTTGCAATCTGCAGTGTTACGTTTACATTTATCCGACGTTCTTACGGTGAAGGAAAACATCATGATGCTGCACATATCTGAGAAGATCAAAGATATTTGTGAAGTCAACCCGCACTTGGCCAGTGTGGTTGACTATGGCCTAGTCACCCTTAACTTAGGGTAGGCTCCGAGCCCCACAGTGGGGACGTATAGTGAGCTGATGATGAATGGGCGAGTTATTTAGTCAGTGATAGGATTAACATTAATTAAAAAAAATATATATAGCGTATTTTTCCTGCTATGTAAAGCCGAGTTATGGTCATATAAACATTAATATGACATTATATGAGTAAAATAAAAACAACGTATAGTTCTGTAGTTGTAACATTTTGGTTTGCGCAAACATTTTTCGTGGCTAACGAATAAAAATAATGTATGTAACACTTACATTTCCCTGAGGATCGATGAGCTGCGCGTATTTGGGCGCTTTGGCTTTGCTGCCGTCGGCGAAGACGCCCGCTAGCCGCAGCGGTGTGCCAGGTCGCGTAGCTGCCCGCTCGTACTGCGCTCCCACCCGCCCGCTCTCTGTAGACACAATACACTGTGTTATTGTGTTGAATATTATTATGTAACTCTCTGTGTGGATATTAAACGGCGTTGTAAAGTAACTCTCTATTTAAACAATACTCTGTTTAAAAATATTTCTCCGTACTTGCATCAATCTGTTTCAAGACGAGACTAGCTGGTCTAGCCGTATTTTTTTTCCAAATACAAATATTTACTGTTAGAAAATTATCATTAAATGGAAGTGTTCAATAGAAGAAAATATCATTCATATTTGTAGAGTGGAGACATAAACTATTTGACGATAGAATCTAAAAAAATTACCAAGTGTTCTGTTTTAGATCTTGAGATATGTGACCTTAGTAATTTCGTAATACTTTCCTATCTCATTAGTGGGCAGTGCGAGTAATATAATAATAATTTAATCCGATTTCTCTGTAGCATCATTACTCTGTGCCCCATATCCTGTAATAGGCGATGCGTTTATTACGCGGTATTCTCGCGACCTCCTGCATATAGAAATGGTCAGAGACAGTTAAATGTATAATGAGTTTTCCCAAGAGGTTTCTAATTTAGTTATTAATTATTCATGAATAGATAAAAACTTTAAGTTCACTTAATTATTGAGTTAGTTATATTTTTTACATAATACCTAATTTATTTTTAAACCACGCAAAATACGAGCCAATCGTGGAGTTGAGGAAATCTAGCTCTTAGCCTTATACAACTTTTTTTTATAATCTAGAACAAACTTTAACTTAATACCTGAACTAGGCCTTGCTCTATACGCGGAGATGGCGCGCGGGGATACGAGGGCGAAGGCCTGGGAGCGTAGCAGGGCCGCCACGGAGCCCCGCGCCGCCGCTAGCGCTCCGCCACGGCAGCCACACGCCGAGAACCAACCTGAAACAATAAAATATTTTATGAAAGAGTAGACACATTAGGAAAGTAAATTTTCCAAGGCTCTAAGATGGCGATGGACTAATGCTATATAATGTTTGAAGAAAAATATTTCAAAAAAAATTTTGCCATCCACCGATAGATGGCGTAATTTGCATAAAATCTCAAAAACTTAAAATTCGAAATTTGCAAACCATTTTAGGATTAGGCTTTTAAAAGTTTAAGTAATATCAGAATCTACATGTTTTCTTTAAATTAATCTCAAAATAAGAATTAATTAACGCTCTAGATGCTTTAGTATTGCCAGTTTTCATTATCGCATGTTTCCGACACGTAACATTCGTTACGACGCGAATCCTGCGCCAAATGGCAACAGTCGCCCCCCGCCTGATGCAAGAGGTCATTGTGTTAACCTCTCGCGTGTTTTTGTTGCATTCTTTCGCTACAAAGATC